GAGATGGTGTGGCTTCACTTTTGCTGATGTGTGCAGAGGGGTCTCCTCTGAACTATGTAACTTCTGGAGGCCTAAGGGGCATTTTTATCCACAGGGCACCACGCTACCAAAAGGGCATCTCCCCCTCCACAGTCAACATCACTAGTTAGGCTTTAGTTTCCAAGCTAAATTTAACCACTTTGGCAAACCACGGTGACCATGGAATGTCAAAAGGGCCAAATTTAGCTTGGCAACTAAGTTACATCTAGGTTTGTGGGCACCCCAGAGTGGCTACAGATGCTTCCCCCCATCTCGTGTAAATAATTCAGGAGGTGCTTCATGCTCTAGGATAATGACATAGACCAAAAGCACACTGTAAGGACATGAAATAAAAATGACGCTGGGCATCCAGTAAAGGATAGTTTGGTCCAATTTGTTTGATAAAAACTTTGAAAAAATTCACACATGTTTAATCGACTGGAAGGACAGAACTTTAGATTTGGGGAGAGACCAAAAGTGAACATGGGTGTAATCAGTACTGACCCATTTGCCCATCCACCCAGGACACTTTCAATGCTTAATTCTTAAAATGTTGGGTTTGCCCTTCTTCCCAGGCATCTAATCCCATTCTTGACTGGCCTTCATCTAATTTCTGGGTGTGATCAAATGGACAACTGGGGTAGAATAGAATGAAACCATCTCCAAAAGTTTCATCTCCAAAAGTAGTACCAAAAATGAGTGTGCCGTTTGTCCAATTGATTCCTATAAACTTTTCTTCCTTTTACTATTCATCTTCTGTGTCTGAATATTTTTCCATTCAAGAAAAAACAATCTGATAAAATGCAAGTGCTACCAAAGCAAGGGAACTGAGGCGGAAGAAGGAAATCCTGCTGGTAGATTATACACAATGCAATACAATTAGGTTTGGTTTCTTTCTAGTTTAATTTCGTTTTTCCCCTTAGGAAAGATCCATTCATCATATTAATGTAGTTGTAATACAGTACAGTAAATATTTTCCAAAAGGGGGAAAAGCTTAACAACTCAAGGACATACAATCAGAAATCTCTTTCCAACCAGCTCCCTTAAAAACCACTTTGTTTCAATTGCATTAAAACTATTTAAGGGGAAAATGAGAGTTTTGATAATACTCTTGGTTGCATTTCTTTACCTCAGTGAATTGGTATTTTTGCTGGTCACCAGGAACTTATTATAATGTAGTCATAAGAACTGAAATTGCAAAGCATTTATGCACACACCTTTGTCCTTTAGCATTTGCAAATGCACTGCAAGAGCCACAAGCATGCCAGTTCCCAGCCATCAATTTTCTTGAAAAGTCACGTTGGAATGGCCATTTGGCAACCGAAAGGTGGCAGAGGGATATAATGCTGAACATGTATAGAATTCACAGTGTAATATTGAGCTTGACTCATTCCTACCAGAGTTTCATGCAGAGGGCCCCCTGTGTTAAGAATAAACCTTCTTGCCCAGACTCTTTCCTTCACCTTTGGTACATGGAGACTCAGTATTCTGGACAAGCTAAGACAGGAAACAGGATGACTGTGGGTGCCTTCGATCTGAATTCCAAGCATTTACTCCTAGATTGAGTGGAGAAGGAGGATACCTGAGGTGTGGACATCCCTTCCTTTTGATGGCCTGGCCAAGTTCCCTTGTGTGGGTTAATGATGTGAGGAGTGGGGTGTCCTCTTACACCCTATGGCATTTCTCTTTCCTTCCTCCCTTCTTCCAAATGAAGACATACATTCCTAAGAACTGAATTTGACGACTTCTGAAATATACATGTGTATGGTAGAATTTCAATGACTTAAGACAGAGGTGCAGAAACACTTTCAGCCCACGGGCCAAATCCATGTTTGGAGGAGCTCTCTGAGTCTGCATGCTAATAGTACCCATATCAAGGCCAAATTAGGGAAACTGCTGAAATAATGAAGCATTTTTAAGCTTCAAACTTTTACTGCCCATAATTGAACTATTTCATTATTTGGGGATGGGAGAGAAGAGCTGTGAAAAAGCAGGGAAATCACCAAATGATCAGTGGTTGGAGTAAATTGTATGGGCCAAGAGAAGAGGATGTGGCCTTCTGGGAATCCTTGGAAGGCTAGGCTAGTATTCCTAGAGGTCCAGATTTGACCCCTGTGCCTGAAGTTCTCCATTTCTAGCCTAAGGAGAAATAGTCTTCTTGATGTATGATCCATGTCCATTGTTTCTGTAAGGTTCTTCATTTGGAGAATTTATAAACACAGAACTTTTCAGGGATTTATAGCTGAACTCTGGTGTTTATTCAGGGCTTGTTTAGTGCCAGGACTTGATGGGGAGGTGGACTAGATGGCACTGGAGGGACTGAATCTGAATCCAGAGAAAATGCCTCCAATCCTATGATGTGTGTGTGTGTGCATGCGCACCTGAGTCTGTGTATGTATGTGGGGGGGAGACAACAAGTCATTCCTTTCCTCCTGTGTCTTTCATTCCTTTTTCGCTGTATCTAATAAGAAATATGTTACTCCCACCCCCATCCCCATTAAATAATTATTACTTCTCGACCTCATATGGCAAATGACTAGGGTAGAACACTCCTTTCATTCATGCATTAAGAATGTTCAATGACAATACATTAACTAGTGATAGCATATAACCATATCACACCAGCGCTTTGCCATCTGCACAGACTTCCAGCCTGTTTCAGGGTGCAAATCCAAGTGCTATTATTAACCTTTATGGCAAATGACTAGTGTAGAACACTCCTCCCGTTCATGCATTAAGAATGTTCAATGACAATACATTGACTAGTGATAGCATATAACCATGTCACACCAGCGCTTTGCCATCTGCACAGACTTCCAGCCTGTTTCAGGGTGCAAATCCAAGTGCTATTATTAACCTTTAAAGGGCTGGACCACCCTGCTGCAAGAGAAAAGTCTGAGTGCTGCCTAGGTCCATGAGTTCCACCTCCGAGAATGTGGTTTAAAGGATTTGCAGCAGATGTGCTGTGGGGCTGAAGGATGCCAAAAGATGAGAGTATTTCTAGACTGCCTTTGGTCTATAAGCAGTTGCTGATCAAAGCAAGGAGGCCAGATGGTGATTATAATTATAATAATTACATTGCATTTAGATACTGCCTTTCTTCCTCTTGGTTACAGAGGCAGCAGGATGACCCAACGTAGGGTCATGCTACAACAGGTACATGGTGGACAGCTTGGAATTGCTCCCATTCCACAAAGCGGATGCACAGCATGCCTTGATTTGATCTGAATCACCCAGACCTGAGCCCAGAGATAGTCTAACTTAGTTGCCGCTTCTATCAGTTCAGTCCTCCACTGTAGGTTGTCCACCATTAAGAACTGCACTTTGCCTAGTTCGGGCTGAAATAATAAGTCCTGATCCAGGAAGTACAGAAATCGGGGGAGTTCTGCACTGGAGCCAGGTCAGGACCCTGGACAGTTCTGAAGGCACGAGCCTGGAGAGTCTTGCCTTGCATTCAGGACCAAGGCTAGTAGCAACACCTTGCAGCTAAGATTGAACATGCACGTGCTAATTCCTCAGCAGCTAGGAGGGAACTGCTGAGTTTTACCGTCCTTCTGGGAGCCCTGCTATCTCAAAAGGTGCAAAAAGCTGAGGGGCCCTGCAATATTATATTGTCCTTAGCTGGGGGAGAGGGAGTAAGAGTCCCATTCAGACATTTTCTATGCATTTATGAGGCTGGCTATTGAGATAAATCTCATTGGAGAAATCCCTGATGCTGGGAACAATTGACAGCAAAAGGAGAAGGGGATGGCAGAGGATGAGGTGGCTGGATGGAGTCTCTGGGACAGTGCGTGTGAGCTTGGGTGGACTCCGAGGGATGGTGGAGGACAGGAGAGCCTGGAGGAATGTTGTCCATGGGGACCTGATGGGTCTGACACAACTTTGTGACTAAACAAACTGAGATAAATCAGTCTGACTAAAGGAAGGTAGATGGCCAGTGTGCTAAGGCTACTATGCAGTATACTAACTCTCCTCTCCTGTGGCCAGTCAAACTTCCTGTCTTATAACAATAGCAATGTTCAAGATGAACACTGTATGAGGAGGTATTCTTGAGCAGTATTCATGTTTTGCATGATATTTCAGTCCTTCTCCTGATCACGTGAGATGCTGGATGCTAACTCCCAATTATAGGAAGTATTTGTACAGGCTTCCTGTATTCTTTTCATTTACGATGCTGGTGTTGGTTTATACAGTCTATTTTGGCATGAATTTCAACTTCTTCTTTGGGGATTTTATAACTCCTGAGATTTCCCACACCTTGATCATCTTTGAGATTATCACTTTGTAAGAAGTGTGTGCTTACATGTGCAAGCTTTGGTGCATTGTCTTCCCAAAATTCCATGGATTCCAATGGGATTCCCAGGAAATTGAATACTGGAACCAGTCTATCAGAGTAACTGCAACTTGTGCCTTTTCAGGGACATGCATACAATTGATTCAATGGTAAGTCAGTCTAGGATTGCTAAAGAAAGGTGATTGTGTCAATTTATTGCTTTAACATTGGAATTGTCTTACTTTTGGCTCCTACAATTCATCTTCCTTGAAGTGGGTACATTTTAAATAGAACAACATTAAAACAGTTCAGAGAATTGCTTTCTTAATTCACAGCGTCTTATTACCATTTTCTTGCATTTATCTGTAACAGGGGATGAATTTAGCCCTGGCTATTATTAGCTGGCTGTTCTGGGTACCAGCAGCTCCAGACTTCATAACTCGTAAACCTGGCTTGGAGAGAACACAAGTTTGTCTCACTTGTGATGTCTGGATGCATAAGTCTAATTAGGCCTGGAAGGTTCCAGGGCTTGATCAGAAAAGTCAAAAATGGCTCAATTCCCTTTTTCCAGAACTCCAGAGCTTCCCAGAAATTGCCCACCATACCTTGAAGTCTCAAAAATCTTTGTGGGAATTGTCTTTTTCTGGTTTGTGTTATTTTTGCAAATGATCACCCATAATGAATCTGTTTCTTTCCATTTCCACTTTAGGCTGCCTTAAAAACAATTCAGCAAGAAAAATATATTTAAATACACATTTCAAACATACATTCGCTCAAGAATCAAGATGTATCTCCTCTCAAAATATACATTAGAAAAAATCCCCTCAACAAACACATTTCAAGTATTCCCCTCCCCCTGCCATCTTCTTCAAATCTGAAATGGACATTTGAGAAATGTAAAAGCTGCTGGATAACTAAATTCCATACATCTTGATGCAAGCTGACATGATCCACCTCTGATCCTTCTGGGTGGACCTCTGAGCAGATCAGGTCAGTTGGTTTCAGCATTTCTAAAGGTCAGAGTCCTCCAGTATCCCGATATCTGAGCAGTGGCTGTCCCAGGCATCATCAAAAAGCAGACAGATGTTAAAGGCAGCACTATGCAGTGCATTGAAAAGTATGACTCAACTGACAGCGACTTTTCTCAAGTGTTCTGCTAATCCTGCTGACTCAGTTCCAAATAGAGCGGAGGAGAATCCACCCATCACTAGTTCAGATGCCCTTTGTTGGGAGGAAAGAGATTGTAACCGGCCAAAGAACCCTCTCACCCTTGTACTTTTCTCTGACTGTGGAATTAGCTCTTTTCTAATACATATTTCATGCTAACTTGGAAAGCATTAATTTCGCAGCATGCACTAGCTGCTCAGTGTTGTTATTATTGCTTGCCAAGTGCCTCACAGAAGCATGTACACTCATTACTGCTTGGTATCTGTTTTCCCAGAGAGTTTATTGGAGGCTTCAATATACACTAACTAGAGGCCAATCTACTCTTATTTGCTTCCAAAAATTGCTGGATGTCTTGACAGGCACATTAATGCTAGCATTAGAACTCCTTATTCAAGCTTGGTTTGCTGTAAAAAAATCCTGATGGGGGTCTGTTGAATTGTTCTAGCTTCTCAAATATAAAAATAAAAAATGGTATCACAACAAAACACGCTGGCAATAAATGCCTGATGTTCGTGAAGCATAACTTTCATAATTGCTTAGCAACCAGTGACTGGTACTGTATATTGGAGATGGAGAACGTAAAGGGCAAAGGAATGAATCAAAGTATTTCTAGAGAATTTACTGGACCTTGGAAAGGGAGTTCTGAATTTAAGCTTAAATTCCTCCTCAAAGCCTTTAAATTCCAATGGCTATTTCCCAACTTCTAATTCATTTCAACTCTGCTCAGCAAATGTCTTGTTGAGCCAGAAAAAGAGCTCTGCAGTAGAAGATAGCTGGGCTAACACCTTCTTAAGAAAGTCCACCTCTGAGAATACTGATCCCCATGGCTACTGAGTACATGAAGCATTATTCAAGAAGGCCTAGCCCCCGGCTAGTCTGGCCAAGCAATTTGCTAAATAAAGTGGGCATAGACCTGAATTTGTTGTGTGCAGGTTTATGAATGTTGGTGGCCATTCTTGTTCTGTGGATTTGTCCCATTAAGGCTGTGATATATATCAGCCTTTCCCAACTTAGGTCTCCACTTCCTAGCATTTCTGACCATTGGCCATGCTGCATGGGCTGATAGGATCTGAGGTGCAAAACATCTGGAGTTGTAAACCTTGCTGAACTCAGTGAAATTCAGACCTGGATGGAATTGCACTGATAGGAGCATATTTATGTAATTGTTTTTGTTTTATTTCCTCCCAGAAGCCCAAGGTGGCATACATGGGCCTTCTTTTCTCTTCATTTTACAACAACAACAAATCTCTGAGTTAGGTTCAGCTGAGAATCAGTGACTGGTCCAAAGCCACCAGTGAGTTTTATGGCCAAGCGGGGACTAGAACCTGGTCCACACAGGCCCAGTTCTGTACACTAACCACTGCACTACAGTGTCACTCATTACAGCAGGTAGTTGAGGATGATGTTTATGTCTGTGGGAAGCAGAGGAATGCCAGCTTTCACTCTGGGTATTTTTGGCATCAGCCCTAGAGTGGACACAAAATTTCATCAGGAAACCCATCACATTTATTATTTTGAACATTGATTATCAGTGTATTCTCTTGAAAGTTCTTTCAAATGTATCAAATCCCTGAGAGGAACACATGCAAAAGGAGGAAAACCCCACAATCTCCAGCATGCCAAAAAGTTAGCTTGAAAAATAGGATGGATTCAATTCTGATTTTAAGTCCTAGCCATGAAGGCAGACTAAGAATAACTCCTTAGTTAGGAGAACATAAACACTGAAAATGTCATTTCCATATAGAGATACTAAACATTTCATTGGAATTATCTCTGTTGTTTTCTTTAAACACAGACTGTACTATTTTGGTAAATGGTGGGAGCAGCTGTTTCCATCCCACTTAGTTATTGTATTTGAAATAATCCTCAGCAAATTGCTTCAAGTGGGCTTGAAATTTCCAGCTGAAAGTGCATCCATCATTAATTCACACAGTATTGCTGTACTGCTTGAAAGTAATGAGCTGCCCTATGTGTGCAGGAAAATGTCTCTTTTATAAATTCAGCTAGGCCTTGGCACAGAAACGCCTTAACCCCTTTTCTCAATTTTCTCATTTCTGTGTCACACAAAACCTTGCATCCTGCATTTAGGACACCAGCTGTCCTTTTGTCACCTGGTCTGTGTTCTGTCCCATGGCAAAAATAGCCACTGTCCCGATTCAACTCCCAATTGATCAAATTTGTGGCGACCCATCCGATGTGAATCAAGGTGCAGCCCAAGCTTCGGGGGTCAAGAAAGGCCCCTTTGGGATTTTGTGTGCAAGGGTTGTGAGGGCTGCTGTCTTACTCTGAGTTCACACCCCTCTGTGTTGGAGGATTTCTTTTTGGCTTTTCATAATAACAAATTCAATTTGGCCTTTGTTAGCAAGGCTTTGGCAAACAAATAACCCTATATCATTAGCAAAAAGCTTTGGAGGAACAATGCAGGGCATGAAGCATAAGAATCAAGTGGAACAGATGTACCACAATTATTTTATTTTATTTTTTTATTAGATTTATATCCCACTTTGTCCAATGAACTCAAATTTAGAATACGGATTTGCATTATTTACAAATTTGCATTATGTGCAAATTTAGAATATGAATTTGCAACCTACACCATGAGTTGAAACATGATCCCATTTTTGTGCAGTCCACTTATGCTTTAATTCCCGTTGTACACTGATTAATGCAAAACTTGCAAGAAGAGCAATCTCTTCTTAAGCATTCAGGTGCAACTACGTGCTCTTGCTTAATCATAGAATCATGGAATAGTAGAGCTGAAAGACTATCGGGTCCAACTCCTGCTGGAGCAAGGCACAGATTTACACCTTCCCACTCAGATGCCTGTCCCGTTTCTTTTGAAATGTTTCTTGTGTGGGAGAGACCACAACCTCTCTGGTTTCACTTTCATATTGCTCTGACCATTAGGTTAAATCCATTGGAAATTATTTGGCTGGGCCAAAATCTACCTAATCTGGCTCTTTGTGTTTCTTTGGCAAGAAGTCCATCTTCAGGCAGCTGGTGAAAAACCATTCAGCAGTCCCATTGTGTACATTATATAACTTTGGCCCATCTCTGGTTTAGACATACCTACAGTTCCACGTGGGTAACCTTTCTGTGACGTATTCTGTACAGCCAAGGCTTGCATTTCAACCACAGTTGCTGGGTGGATCACAGTTGTCTTCGCACCCTCTTGATTAGCCATGCTTTTGCAGTTGTGCCATTCAGATATATTTCCCCTCCCTGCGACCCCCGTGGAGTACATCATGCAAAAGCTGTTCCCCTTTGTTCAAAGGGCATCACAGGCAAATTCATTCAGAGAAGGCTGTACCCATTTATATATTACTTGACCATGCAAAAATGTGGCAGTGGCTAAACATTTTACAGAGGGTTTTGCTAAAAGAAGAGAATGAATTAGAAACATTAATAAAACTTAAACAGTTTAATTAGCCATTTGATCCATTGGGGTTAAATTCATCTCTCCCTCCCCAAACTCAAGTAATTAGGTTTTGTTCAGAGAAATGGTGTATGAAGTAATTAAGTTGAATTTGTGGACTGTTGCATTACAAAAGTGAGATTGTTGTTGTTGTTTTAAGAACTCCATTACACATATATGAAGGCAATTACATCTACTTCATTGTGTTCCGATGAGAAAAACGAGCAATACATGTCCAACTTCTGTTCGAGATGTGTTTTCTGAACTCTCACATTCGTAGAAAAACTGGAAAGCTGTGATACCATTTGCTTGCAATCCTTCCATGTCAGAAGGCACCTGGTGCTATGATCCTCTTTCATTTCAGCATAGCTAAATAAAGGTTTGTACTAACATTTTAGCCCTATTCAGGCTTGTGCCTGTTATTATGTAGGGCTAAATCATCTACAGATATGATTTAGCATGAAAGGTTAAATGTAAAGCCCACACCTTTCAGGCCAACATCTGGTTTCTGTGTAGACTTTTGTCATTGAGTGTGAAGGGTCTGTAGGTGCATTCGGCCAAATACACAAACAGACTGTGTTCATAATCACAGGGAATCTGTAAATACCTCCAGTGCATATTAATGCCTCTTCAGTACTATGTGTCAACATGTGGGGATGGGACTTACACACGTGCCAACTCCCCTGTAATCAGGTTAGTCCTACAACCAAACCAGTGCTTACCTGCACTGGGTTCTTCTCCACTGAGAAACCCTTAAAGAGGTGCTGCTGAATGTGAGAACCGACTACATTAGAAAGCGCATTCTTGGAAATCTAGGAACAAATGAATGAATGAATCAGTCATTTCCAGAACTTGTAACTTCCACGTTTGTTCATCCATTGGTCTGCCCCATCAAGTTTCTGCATCAATAACATTTTTAGCATCTGCATTTACATATGCATTTAAGTAGCATTTTAGATACACTTGCCTTGAAGGAAGCCCCATTAAACCCAAGCAACAAACTGGCATTGCAGCCTGAATCATTGCTCGTTCTCCTCTGAAGCTGCTGATTTTTTTCAACGTTTCTGAATGAGAGAATAATGGGTTAGAGACAGGTGGCTTACTTGACCGCTCTTCCAAACTTCTGACATATTATACAGGATCTTTTGACCTTGGTAGTGGATGTGGATGAAATGCTGCTGTTTTTCAGGAACGGCACCTATGTCTACGGTTGCACTCTTTCACCGCCAGGGGATATAGGAGCTGCCCCCTCTTGTGGGAAGGATCACTTCCCAGTGATGGAGAAAATGCTTTGAAGGGGAGGGCCCCACTATCTCTGTCACTAACACTGTCTAAAAACCCAAATATGAC